AAAGATCAGTTACATTCTGTCATGGTCAACTATATCAAAGAAGAATGATGCAAACTCATGAAAAGAAAGTTTTCCATCGATAATTTCGAGAAAGTGAATTAGTATTAAAAAAGATTCTTTTTAACCAATAAGATCCTAAAAAAAAAATAGACTCCTAATTGAGAATGTCCATATGTGGTAAAGAAAGCATTTTTTGGTAAGGCATTAATCTTAACAAGAATAGATAGGGATGATTTACCAAATCTAGTCAATGCCAATACAGTAAAAAAGTACTATGCTTAAAAAAAGACAAAAAGGCAAAATGAACCGAAAATATATCTAAGTTGAAAACCTGAAAAGGTGTCTTACATAAAGAAGCATTGAATAAAGTGGGTTAATTCTCAATATATGCCAAAAAATCTCATTGGTTTTGGGCTAGCTTGGTTTGTTAGGTTCTTAAAAAGTCAAGGGCATCAATTAAGAGTTTTTCAGAAAGAATTCATGATGAATTAGCTCATAATGATCTAAATGTTTGTTATATGATTACTTATTTTTTTTTTTATATCTTTTTCGATAATGCATGAAACACTTATCCTTTATACTGAAATAAAATACCTCTTTTGTTTATCCATTCTTTGTCCCTTTCATTAAAAGAAAAATATGCAATGGATTATAATTGTCATGAAATTCAAAAGATGATGAAGGGAAAACAATGCTATGAAAGACACATTATTTTGTAAGAGATTTAAAATGATAAGCAAAATAGTAAGGAACAAAACTCAATAAAAAGATAGGCTTATAAGTCATCAAAGTAGTAGACATTGAATATAGGAAAAATGGAGAGAAATCTTTTTATTTGAACTTAATCAGCTACTGAAACGCATGGGATTAAAAAAGAAAAGGGAAACAGACAATGAAAAATTTTAAGAATTTAAGAAAAAAAACAAAAAAAAAGTGGATGGTCTCTTCGTTGCATCATAAGTGCATTTGCATCATGATCATTATTCATTGCATTACATTGCAAAAGTATGAAAATGTCATTCATGCACGTATGTGACACAACAAATATATGGATCTAGGACAATCCAAGACTAACAAAAGGAAAAGTTAAAAGCAAAAAAAATGTGAACCCTCTATTTAGAGGAATCATTTAAAGTTTCATTACCTTTTAGATTTTTAATTAAAGTTTCATAGCCTCTGGTTAGAAAAACTTTTTAACATTTAAAGTATCATTGCCTTTGGTCAAAAGAGCTTTTCTTTCAAGTTTTATAACTTCTAGTCAAATGAGCCTTTTAAATTTAAAGTTTCATTGCCTCTGGTCAAAAGAGTTATTTAAAGTTTTATTGCCTTTGATCAGAGGAACTTTCTTTAAAGTTTCATTGCTTCTGGTCAAATGAGCTATTTAAAGCTTCATAGCCTTTGGTTAGATGAGCTTTAATTTTAAAAGCCTCTAGTCAGAGGACTCCGTCAAAATTAAGCATGATTTGTAAGACCAAAGGGCATAATCTATAAGTCTTTTCTGATTTTTAATTTAAAGTTTTATTACGTTTTGTCAGATGAGCTATTTAAAGTTTCATTGTCTCTAGGCAAAAGAGCTTTTTGAATTTAAAGTTTCATTGCCTTTGGTCAGATGAGCCTTTTTAAATTTTCAAAAGTTGTCAAACCTTTGTTTAAAAGAGTCTTTCAAATTTTCTTTCAAAAAATATGTGTTTAATGTTTAGTCTTTTGTATGTGTTTGCTCGAACAAAATTGGTGTTTTCTTGTCTTTGCCTTATTCTTGATTCTTAGAAATAAGTAAAGAAGGGCAGCTGTAAACAACAATTTTGTCTGATTTTATTTTAACTTATATATATAATTTTTTATATTATTATTATTATTATTATTTATTAATTATTTATTTATTTATTTATTTAATCTTAAAAAAACAAAGGGAAATGGTCAAAAAATTATTTTAATTATGGTAGCTAAAATCAAGTTGCCAAAAGATTTTTCTTCTCCAAAGGTCAGTGTACACCAAAACTCTGCACTACCTAACTTTGTAGCACGAAATTCGATGACCAAAAATCACCAGACAAATTTTTTCAAGAAATAATCTCATAAAATTTGGGATTTAAATCTCAAAAGCTCTATAAATAGAGCTAATTTTTGTAAAAAAAAAAAAAAAACACACACACACACACATACACATAAGCAAAAAAAATCACAATCTTCTTTTACAGAGGAACCAGCAGCAAACATAAAAATATTCAGAAACAAAGAAAAAACTCCCCGAGAATGAAATTCTTGATCTATGAGGTTTTAAATTTTTTTTGGAAAAATCTAGTTTTGAAAGAGTATTTAAAAAATAAAAAGAAGTAATTTGAAATTTTTATAGATTTTTTTGAAATTGTTTTGAATCGTTAGAATTTAGGAAAATTTAAAATTTTTGGTAACTGGTTGAAGATTCTGGCAACTGAAATCTAAAAAAATAGTTGGAATCTATAAATTATTTGAATTTATCAGTATCATTTGAAGTTTTTCAGCAATGGCATAGTGATGACCGATCGAAAACTACGTAATTACGGTTGTCGACGAAAGGGAGTTTGGGTTTTAAAGAGAGGAGTTTTGGGGTAGAGAGAGGGGAAAGAAAAAAAAAGAAAGAAAGAGATTTTAGCCTATTTAAAGGCTACCAAAACGACACCATTTTTATGTCAACCCGTGAACCAACCTATACAAGATTCGTGTGCAACCCATTAGACAACCCGACCAGTTTGTAAGGTTTTTTTTAATTTTTTTAATTTTTTTATTTGATTTGATTTTGTTAATTGTTTAAGATTTTTATAATTTATAATTTATAATATTTACATATATTTATATATTTTATATTAAAAATAAATAATTATCAATGACAATGAGCAATAAAAAATACTAAGATTTTAATTAAAAGAAAAGCATAAACAAAATAATAATATTAACTATTTAAGGAAAATAAAATTTTATTACAAGCAAAAAGGTTATTTAAATTTCGCCAAGGTGTTGGGATAATTTAAAAAATAATTTTTGCTTAAAAAATAAATTTAAAAAAAGATAAATAAAATTAAAAAAATGATAAATTGTTTAAATGAATATTTTAAATGTAATTTTTAGTGAAAACTGAAAGAGTTTGATTCTTTTTTAATTATTGTAAATAAAAATAATTTTTTGAATTTCACCATAAAGTTGGAATAATCCAAAATTACTTTTGCTAGTATAAATGTTTATTTAAACAATATAAAAAATAAAAAATAAAATAATAATAATAATAATAATAATAATAATAATAATAATAATAATGGATTATTTGAATAAATGTTCTAAAAAATGTAATTTTTAAAGAAAATTAAAAGAGTTTGATTTTTTTAATACAAGTAAAAGATTAACATTTTTAAATTTCGTCGATAAGTCAAAATAATCTAAAATTTTTTATATAATAAAAAAGATAAAAACAATAAACAATAAATAATCACAATAAAAATTAATCATAATAGAAATTAATTAATTAATTAAATTCCTTAATTATCATCAATAAAAAATAATTTTATTGAAAATCTCATTAAAAAATTGAGATAATCTTAAAATTTGTTATTGAAAACTCACTAAAGAGTCAGGATATTCTTAAAATTTTTTTAATAAATAAATAAAATATTCTATAACGAAATTTTAAACATTTTGTGAATAGTCAATTTTTTTGAAATATTTTCTAAATAAAAATTTTTATAAATTTGGCCAAATTATTAGAAAATTTATAGAATATGAAATAATAATATTAATGTTAATTTCACAACAAAGAATTTTTTTATAAATAAATTATAGGAAATTAAATTTAAATATAAAAAAGATCATGTTATCAAAATCAAAGGATTAAACATGTTTAATTGATACTATTTTTCGAATTAACAATATGTAAGTGTTAATATTTTTTTCACTCGTAATCGTATTTTTAGATTTAACTTTGATTTTACATACCTAAAATTTTTTAATAAATTTTAATTAATTTTTAAATTTTAATTAATTTTAAAATTTTAATTAAAAAAATACATTTAAATGATCAATCATATTTTATAAAAATTTTGATAAAATTTTTAAAAACTTTCATCAATTCTAGCGATTGAATTCTCATAAAATCGTTAACCTACCTTGGGAACTAAACCCCATGAAGTCGCTTCTGCCATTGCTAGATTCCCTCACATAGTCTCTCACAGTGTGGAAGAAAAGCTTTGTCCACTCTTGGCTTTCTTTCAAGCATTGGGGGTCCCTGAAAAGCAACTAGGCAAAATGATAGTGCTAAATCCAAGGCTCATTAGCTATAGCATTGAATCTAAACTCACAGAAATAGTTGACTTCCTTGCCACCATTGGCCTTAACAGAGAACGGATGATTGGTAAAGTTCACGCTAAATACCTTTTTATAATGGGTTATAGTGTTGACAAAAGGCTACGCCCTACCTCTGAATTTTTAAAATCAGTTGGTTGGTCTGAGACAGATCTTCAAACAGTGGCCATGAACTTTCTTGAGGTCTTGTGTAGAGATGTGAGCAAGATTCTTAGACCCAATTTTGCATATCTAAAAAGATGTGGATTTGAGGATAGATAGTAGCTCTGGTGACTGGATATCCCCTTAATCTTATCAAGAGCAACAAGAATTCTTTAGAACCTAGGATTAGGTTCTTGGTTGAGGTGATGGGGAGGCAAATTGTTGAAGTAGCTAATTACCCTGACTTCTTTCGGCACGGTTTAAAGAAGAGAATAGAGTTGCGGCACAGACTTTTGAAAGAGAAGGATGTCAGTTGTAGCTTAAGTGAAATGCTGGACTGCAATCAGAAGAAGTTTCTACTGAAGTTTGGTTTGTTAAAGGGTTTGCCTGAGGTACTAGAGCTACATTACAATTCTCTTTGATCTATCATTTTTCTTACGGCAGCTTGATTGTCAACTTGGTGCATGAAGGGAATTTTTGTACATGTTTCTAAGCTTATCAATGAGAAATTAAGATCAGCAACTGCAGCTTTTATCTGAGGATATAGTGATTCTTTCCTTCAGTCTGATTTAAAAATTGTCATGAAGCCTAACTTCTAATTCCCTTATAATTTGATCAAATGTTTTCCTGCTATAGTTGAGGTCTGAACTTAATCTGGTGTTTGCTAAATAAGTACTTTGCCATGTCTCAGTCTAAAGAGATATCATAACTGTAGTTCTGCATTGAATGATGCAATATCACTTATGTAGTTAAAGAGGCTGTCTGAATGTCGAAGTATTCTTCAAGTTCATTAATGTCCATGTGCGTTCCTTTCAGAAACAATCCTCTTTGCTAGATTTTCACAGTTTATTCAATCAATATACAACAGTTTACCGTTTTTGCTACTTTGATTTTTTTTCTTTTTTAATAATTTTGAGATACTAACGAGTAGTGCTTCCGTATCTGTACGACTATCTGCTAATAGTTTATTAAGTTGAGAACCGCAAATGTATTAATAATCTATTCCTAAGACAGTATTCCTCAGAAAGGTTGTGCTTACATGTAGAAAAAAAAAAAAAAAAGGTTGTACATGTGAACAACTGATTCAGAACATGATAGACAAGAACATCTGCTAGTATTCTTCCTGAAATTCATCTGCGTTTGAGCTATTCACTATGTCAGCATGGACATTTACTCGAATAAATACTAGAAATGTCATCCAAATGTAACTTTAGGCTCAAATCATAGCACTCCAATATTGTTAAGAAACAAAGGATTAATTAGTATTCAGAATCAACAGATCAAAAAAACGTTTGCGGTGTGGGATCTTGATGATGGTACCTCTGCCTGGAACAACTCTGTTTGAACATGAGATTCAGGGAACGAGGGAGAGCATTTGGGGAAACATAACCCATTGTACTGAGGGCTCCAGATGATCCAAGCTCTGCTTGGGAATGCCTTCAATTTTCCAGGGCTCACCAAAGTTAGTACCTTTAGCTGATCATTGTAGTCTACACATTCTTGAAGCTGAAGAAGTTTAAACCTGGGAACGTATTGAATTCTTCTGCGTTGTTTTTACTGCACTTCGCCTTCCAGCACTATCTTGTGAAGACAATGCCATGCTGGAAAGTGAATTGTCACTGATGCTAATAGGTGTAGGAATACCAGAAGGCCATTGAAAGACTGGCTTGAATGGAGGGACACGAGGGACCGGTAGAGTTCCATTCATAATTTGGAAGATATCCTCAGTTTTAGGCCTTTCACTAGCAATAGGATGTGAACATGCGAGCCCCAGCAGTAACAACCTCTTTGCTTCATCAACCACAAACTCGTTGTTGAGGCGTTCATCCACAGCTTCTATAATTTGCCCTTCACGGTGTAACATCCAAACCCAATCAACCAAAGTATAAAGACCTTGCTGGTGTGGGGTCTTGATTCCAGGACTCTTCCCACAAACAACCTCAAGCACCACTGCCCCAAAGCCAAAAACATCAGATTCGGGGGTCGCACTCCCTGTGTGAAAGCACTCTGGGGCGACATAACCCATTGTACCAGGGACTCCAGCTAATCCAAGCTCAGCATAGGAATGCCTTTCATTTTCCAGGGCTCGGGCAAGACCAAAGTCACCTAGCCGAGCATTGTAATCTACATCAAGCAAGATGTTACTAGGCTTGAGGTCACGATGCACCACCTTTTGGTCATACTCGTTGTGGAGGTAATGCAAAGCTGATGCTATGCCGGTCAGTATCTTGTATCGATGAATCCAATTCAGAGTGCCGTGGCTGGAAGTGCCATAGAGGTGACCATCCAAGCTGCCGTTTGGCATGAAATCATACACCAGTAGAAGCTTCCCTTTCTCGTAGCACCAACCTAAAATGCAACCGCAATCCATACAAGATGAATGATCATTGAGTTATAGGAATTGCTTTTCCATCATTTTTATCTTTTCTTATTTCTTTTTAAACAACCGTTTTACGAACCTAGAAGCTAAGTTTATTAAATCAATCATAGTAAAGGGTAATAACTTGAATAAATGACATTCTCTATAATAAAAGATAAATTTCGAAAACAAAAGGCATCATGTATGTTATTGGGATAATTGAAATTGTTTGGAGATAAAACTAAGAGTGGATTAATTGGATATATTTGAGCGTGAATCATGAATATTATAAGGTAATATCATATTTGTGTTTTTTTTTTTTTTTTTTTTTTCTCTTTTGAAACAAATATTGCTTGCAGTGTCAGGATGTCAGCTTATTGCTAATGCCGTTTCCTTCTTCTCTAGGGTTGGTGGGTGGGTGGGTGGGTGGGGGCGGAGCCTATACATTGGATAGAGGCAATAAATCTTTGCAACTTGCAAGTGATAATTACTCAGTTTAACGCTTTCTGGATCTGGCTGCGCCACTTTGTTTTACTTAAGTTTTTTTTTTTTTTAATGGTTGGCGAATAATCATAATATTTTAAAATTAAATTTTTAATATTTAATAATAAAATGATGTCATGATAGAATTTTTTTTTTTTTAATTTGATGAAAAATTCATTTGAATGATCAATGAACCATCAACTTATTTTGAAATTGAAATTTCAAAATTCAATAATAAAATAATATGGTAATATGATAAAATTTCTTCTCATTGATCATTTAAAAAAAATTTGGGATAAAAAAATCTAATAATTTCAATAAAAAGGACAAAGCAAAACAAAAAAGACATCCATGATACGTTGACCATCTAATTTTGAAAATGAATAATCCTAATTTATGTTGAGAAATATTTATTTAAAAATTTTCGGATAAAATTTATGAAATTTTTATTAAAAATAATTAAAAAATTAAAACGAAAAATAAAAATTAATGAATTAATAAAATTCAATGAAAAAATTAATAATATGTAAAAAAATTTTAAATATCATTTATAATTTAAATTTGAGAATTATTTATTTAATGATAAAAATTTTATTAAATTTTTATTAAAAATATCTAATTAAAAAATATATCAAAAATTTATTAATTTAAGAAAAAATTTTCACACTTTAATCTATATAACAAAATCTTTCAATCTATTAATTATTATTTTTATTTTTATTTTTAATAAAAAATTTCATAAACTTATCCTAAAAGATCTGGTCAAAGTCTTTCTCACCTCCCACCTCCCACCTCTGATTACGGCCACAATATTCTAAAAAGATGATAGAACCCCCTCCTAAACGTTATCTTCCTAACTCTTTTCACATGTAATAAAAAGTTATCATTAATCTGATAATTAAGATGGTTTTCTTCTTTGATTAGCCAAATATAAAATTATTTTATCTAAATTTATGTATAAAATTGAAGTTAAAGAAATTTTAACAAGAACAAATATCATCATAGTCATATATATGAAAGAAAAGAAGGCATTTTACCAACTAAGCGGACAAGATTTTTATGGCGAAGACGATGAATGATGGCGAGCTCAGCCAGGAAATCATCCTTGCTTTTGATATTATCTCTTGAGAATTTCTTGACAGCCACTTGGTTGGAGTTGTGATTATTGCTACTGCTATTGTTATTATCCTTGTCATGGAGATAGATGATGCCTTTGTAGACTATACCAAACCCACCCTCACCAAGCTTCGTACTCTCGTCAAAATTGTTGGTGGCCTTCTTCAACTCCTTGTACTTGAACTCTCTTGGCATTCCAGGCAGCCATTTCAATTTGCCAAACTGATCAGCAGCTTCAACCAAGCCTTTGCTTCTTCTCTTGTACACAACAATAAATAGGATGGCCAGCAGCAATGTCACCCCAGGGACACCTATCCCGAGACCAATCTTCAACCAATTCGATTCTTCATTCCTGGGCAGAATATCTATGTCCAGGCTCCATTTCAAGACACAATTCAACTGGATCTGTGGGTCACCTGTTGAACCAGCGAAACCGAAGTAGGAATCTTGTTTCAGGTATTCCTTCAGGTTAATGATGTCGCTGAGAATGGGTTTTAAGGGTTTATCTTGCCATTCTTTCGCCATGTAAACCTCTATCAGCTTGGACGTACCATTGTAATCAACCCAGAGTAAGTAATTGGTGCCTACTTCTGGTGATAATGTAATATTATAGTCACTGAGAGAAGCAACCTTCACTGAGTTAATGGAGTTGATGTCGAGCCCGATATGGTTGTCATCTGGTTCTATATCTGGCTGCCTTGCGGTATCAAATTCAATGGCTACAATTTGGTTGTCTTCACTACGATCGGTGGAGGCATTGGTGAGACCAAGCCATTGGCCGTAACTATTGTCTGGAATACTTGAAATATTGGGGGCTATGAGAAAAGCAAGGCCATGACCAGCAGTCCAATTCTCTTCCCTGTAGATGTTGATGACAAAGGCTGAGCTGAAGGAGGCCAAGGTGTCATTTGACGACCAAAGCCTGAAGGGTTTGTTGTACATAATGCGACCAGATTTGTTATAGTGGATACCAATCATACCATCGTTGATGGTGTCAGGAGTTAGCTGAAGAGCTCCCTGATCAATATCGGAATCCGTCCCCAAGAGGGTGAGTGATGAGCGATGGCTGTCATTGAATCCATCATAATCAAGCACTCTTTCTTTCTTAAATGAAGCTGATCTTGCTGTGGTTATTAGGTGCAGAAGGGTGAAAAAGATTATGAAGACTATGATCGAATTTCTATTTAAAATGCTCATCGTCCTATTAAACTCCATCTATTTCATATGACTGAAAGGGGTTGTGGGCAGAATTAAAGTTGCAGAGAAAACGCAGCTGGGAAAAGTATAGAAAAGGGGATCATATGAAAGCTAGTTGATCTCTCTCTTGTATATATACACAAATGTTGGAAAGATATCAATAAAGGAAATATGATTAACGAAAATTAGTCTTTGAAAGGAAAATTTCCCTTTCGTTGATTGATTCCCTCGTACCGTGTTTAGCACTTTGATATTTGACCCTTGCCCCCATTTTTTTTTTTTAAATTATAATTCAATGGAGTTGATAATTTATTTATAGATGTTTGATCAGTTCATACGTATTAAATAAATATAAAATATAAAAATTATTATATTATAATTCATATCAATATATTAAATATAAAATAATTATTATATAACTATTAAATTTATATATTATTTTTATTAAAGTTTTAAAATACATAATTTTTGTATTTTTTATATAATTTTTTTATCATATTATCAATTATCAAGAAAGGAAACGGAAGAGAAGAGCTAGTTCTTTGAAGAGCTGCTGAAATATTGGAAGTCAAATGTAAATTTGGCGGAGAAGAGTCAATACTTCCACGCCACATAAATGGCTAGTCATCCGTTGAATCTTCCATTCCTTAGTTTACAATTCCAAAACCTTTTTTTCATTGTTATGATGGGAAAAAAAAATTAAGAAACTTCTAAGAAGGATAGCCTAATTACAATATTACGCGACCGTAGATACACGGAATGTTAAAACATTAGAGAATTTCTAAGCTACATTTTACCAACCACCATGTTGAATGGATTAGAATCAGATGACTCTCGTGTCATTTCATACCTTATTAATTATTTAATTATAATTGTACTATATATAGTTGACAAATTAATTATCAATATAATTATAACATCCATATAATTAATTTAAACTAGCTAGTTACCGATTACCATAGTTCTTTTTTTTCTTTCTTTTTTATTATAATTATTATATATAGTTTATTAACTTCTTTTAAAAGTCAGCCATGAGTGGTTTAACTTTAATTACATATATTACATTATGTGAAATAAAAATGCTTCCAATTAAGGAGATAATTTTTTATTGACAGGCAATTTTGCCAATGAACTTCAAAAGAAAGAAAGAAAGAAAAAAAAGCATGGGTAAATAATATATATATATATATAATTAAGGAGGAAAGCAACTAAATTATAGTCCTTTGTTTTTTTATACAAAGGAGATAGTACTTTAATAATTGAAAAAAATATTATAAATATTAAATTTTAAAATTAAAAAATCTATTAAATGTTAATTTTTAAAAATAATTATATAAATAATATGAACTAAATCCTCGATTCATATTATTTCCTCGTGATCAGTAGATGTTCTTCAATTCATATTCAAAGTTTAAACTGATAAAGAATAATTAGTTTACTAAGGAAAGTCTTAAGTTTCCATTACACATTTAAGTTGTTATAGCTTACATACAATATTGGTTTAATCACTTTAATGCAAGTGTAATTTGAACGTTTAAAGGTTTTCACAGCTATACTTGAATAAACTAAAAATCACTCCGCATAGAAAAAAAGAATTTATCCAAAAAAAAAAAAAATCCAAATTAGGGGTGTAAATGATACATTAGTATTTGCAAGTTACTCGGGTTCAATTCGAAGAAAACTTGAATTTGGTTCGATTATTATCGAGTCGAGTTCGAGTTCGAGCTCGAGTAGCTCGACTTATCGATCGAGCCGAATTCGAATATTCTTATATCTGACTTTAGTAGCTCGCGAGCTTAATCGAGCTTTTATATTTAAATATATTTTTATTATTTTAATTAATAAAATATTTCGAGTTCGAGTTCGAGCATGAATAATCGAACTCTTGTCGAGTATACGAATCGAGCTTATTTTTACATATTAATCGAGCGAGCTCGAGTAGCTCGAATTCGATCACGAATCGAGTTCGATTCGAGCTTGAAAAATAAAACTCGATCGAACTTGAGTCGAGTATCCAGTCTCGAGTTGTGAGTCGAGTTCGAACTCGAGTTTCTCACTATTCGACTTAACTCGAATCGATTACACCCTTAATCCAAACCATGACTCACGCAAGAATAATGGTTCACCGATTAGGCACAAACTAGTCAAGACAAAAAGTTAGGAATAGATTGATAATATTAAAAAAAAAAATGGATTATTCTTCAAACTTTAATCATCAATTAATACTAGCACCTGGAGCATATGCTGTATATAGATTAGTTGTGTTGGAGAAAGAAAACAAATGAAATAATAAGAACTGGATTGTTCCATTTTTTTCTCACATGAATAAAAATGGTTAGAGTGGACAAGAGGGAGAAGAAGTGGTAATGAATATAGTATATATGTGTATATAGGAGATTCCATTGAGACTTTTTCGGACGATACAGATGGATAAAAAGTGCTCAATATCGTATATAATTACGCTTTTTTTAAAATAATATATATCAGTATCAATTATTTTGATATATTATTTTAGATGTTTTAATTTAGTATAAATATATTTATAAATATACATGAATTTATATATATATATATAATATCTTTAAAAATCAAATAAATAAGTTTAAAAGTATAAAATATAATATCATCACTTTATCATGATATTTTTAAATTTTTAATCTTATTATATAATATTTAAATAAATATTTTTCTTTTTCATGTAAATATTAAGATAAAAACAGAAAAATAAATAACATTGGGTTCATGATTGTTAAACTTTAAAGGAGCATAACACTATATAGAAAGAGATTGAATTACTTATGAACTTTGGTTTGAAAAAATAAAGTATAAAAAAATTAATTACAGTAAATAATAGAGAAACTCAATTTTTAAGGATTATTTTGTTAATTTATTTTATTTTTATTAAGTTGAAGACAGTCAACCAATAAAAATTAAATTAAAAATTACAAAATATATTTCACATTTATGTACCGATTGAAACAATTTAATTTATCAAAATCAACTAAAACTAATAAAAAAAATCTCTATTACTCAATACCATGTTTGATATAAAAAATCACCTTTAAATGTATTATATTTTGATATAATTAGAACGTATCGATTGGTACAATCAGTAGTGAAATGAAATTTAACATCATTGTGTGGATATCAACTACTTTACCCCAATTTACCTATCACTTGAAATGAGCCCACAATGTTACGGTTTTAAAATTTTTTTTATTTATTAAATTAAATAATTATTTTTATTATTTAAAAATAATTTGTAATTTATTAAAAAATTTGATTTTTTAAAAAATAAGAAAGTAAATAAACTTCATATCGATCTTCTTTTTCTTTGGCTAGGGTCCAAAGAGTAAACCATACTTAAATTCTTAACACGTGACTAAGCTTACAATCCTCTACTCAAAAGATTCTAATAGAATAACACTACAATTCAAATCAATTAAATAAACATGATAGATTAACTACAAATAATTTCAAAAAACCTTCTAAACAAATAAAAATGTTTCTAACTAATCCATAATGAAATAACAGGGCCAATTGACTATTTTCATAGCCATTAATGAAGCTCTATGGATAGCTTAATCTTGAAAACACAAGAAGCAACCAAATCACTTGGCATATGCCATTTGATTATCTAATTAGATGTAAAATGTAGCAGAAATGAGAAATCATTACCTGCATGAATGCATAAATCTTTTTTTCATTGTCGATCTCTAGTTGAACATTACACTCATTATAGACCATGAATTACTTCAGGATTCTTCAATAACAAAAAAAATAGTAGAAATTAAATATGGAAGAAATAGACAATCAAGAAAAGATACACATCAAACAAATGAATTTTTAGTTTTGTATTATAAAATATTTGGAGGTGCCAGTATGATGGATTGCAAAAGTATGCAACAACATAAATAGAATGATGGAATAATTAGCTCTAATCACTGTCAATCACACTCAAGAAAAGTCCATATTTAAGCACATCATCATAATGAAAGGCTTTAATTGCAAGCTTTGTTCTATGCATGTCATTATATATGAATAACATTGATTTGATTTCATGAGTAATATCTTTTGAAAAACTTCAGCAATCATTTCTAAAACTTTTTTTATATCTAATCATGTTTATAAAAGATAAAACATACATTTAGAATGAGATACAATAAGATTAAAAAAAAATTATTCAAGATAGCTTGTAGATACTCATCTGTGTCCAGGTCAATTAAACCAATTTTTATTATTAACATTGTTTTATTATATTATATTATTATTTATAATATTATTATTAGTGCTATAGTATAATATTGTATTATATTATTATTATTATTATCATTATTATATGGTATGATATTATATTTTCTTATTATTATTATTTTTTCGTTCCTCCTTAACTGTCGATCAATTAAGGTAACTGAAGAATTGAATTTCTTGAATCAAAGAAATCCAATCTCTAACAGTCAAAGGCTTTAATTCCTAATCAAAGGATTTTCGGGTTATCAGTAATGAACCTAAACCTAATCTGAAGCTTGGGCAGAATCCAATCATAGGATTCAAATCTGAGATTGATTTTGTCAATTTCTTAAAATTTATCCTAAAGGGACTATAAATTGAACGCAGTTAGATAGAACAAGACACAATGGATTAAGGGAGAAAAGACTCAGTGTTTAGGATTTTAGGCAATGAAGGAATTTGTAGGATTTTGATTCTGGATTCGGTTTGGAAGTTTAAGGGTTTAGATTTAGGTTTTTAGGGTTTGGTTTAAGTTACTGGAGGGTTTCTGAAAAATCTGAGAAAATTTGGGGAAATCTGCTTTTTTTATGGAGATTTCTCGACTTTTTAGGTTTTTTAGGATGAACAAAAATATTTTGATGAATTTTTCGATGATCGGTTGAATTTTTCAACCACATTTATGCCAGTTTCCCAGAATCTGATAGATTATCTAGTTTTCAATTGAAATTTTCAATGACTTTTCTAGAAACATGTTTTTATATAAGAAACTTGTTTTTTAGATTTTTTGAATTGTATTCAAAAACTATATATCGAAAGAAAAACTTTAGTCTTTGTTAGCTTTTCAATTGCGTTTTTTAGGTCAAAACGTGGTTTTTATTAATTTTTTATGTTATAAACCTTTCATCTACCTCTCGAACAACTACTCATACATTTCTCATATATTTTTAGAAAGAAAAAAAAGCAAAAAAAAATTGAAAATCATTAAACAGCCACGTAGCGAATGAAGACTGTTTTTCGTATATTTGTAAAATTTATCTTATGGATGGCTACGATCCTATTTAAAATTTTTCTTTGTCCAGGATCTACGTACCTTTCTGTTAGTTGGTGATCTTCTGCTTTGTTAGAGACTTTTTTTTTCTTTGTGCTGCCAATTCTTTTTCCATGATGCTATCTGATTTATTGTAGTTTAAAATCTCATTTCCCGTCAATCCAAAGCCAATTTACATACCCCCTAGTTATCTGCCCACTCAACTAGTTGGTGGCTTCCTTTAAGGAAAGGCCCCTTGAGGATATTTTTTGTAGTTTTACAGATATGGAAATTATTAAAATTGTGTACAATTGATTCCATGAGGGAAAAAGTTCTAGAATTTGTAGTTGCTCACTTCATTGGTAGGATTCCTAATTCTAGTCTCTTTCAGCGGATGCTAAATTTGGTTTGGTAACAGATGTTGAGGCTGATATTAGGCCTGCTGGATTTAATCTGTTCATTATTCAATTCCTTAATTCTGCTACTAGAGATCGGATTCTTGAATCAGGGCCATCCGGCCATAGCATATTCAAAATAAGCCACTCATTGTGAGGCGAAGGGAGCCAAGTAAGTATGAGGTCATTGGAATTTAACATCACCAAATTACCTATTTGTGTCCATTTGGGAAACATTCTTTCGGAATTGTACACACGAAAGGGCTTGATATATATATATATATATATTGTTTATATTTGATGCATGTAAGTTTATAAATTTTATACAATGCTAGTAAATTAATGATATTATTTCATTAAAGAGATAAATCAGATGATACAATCTTATTAATGATTAAATTTTTTAAAAAATATATTAATTTTTATATATTTATTTTAAAGACTTATATTTATTTACTAATAAACTGATATTATTTAATTTACTGGCAGTGCGTAAAATTTATACAATTATAGTACATCAAATATAAACTTATTTTTATAAAAAAGGTTGCAGCTTGGGATAAAAGAAAGAATTACAGGTATTGAAATTTAAACCTTAAATTTATTAGATACCATATCTTAAAAGTAGTTAACATGGATCTAACATTTGCTAGAACTTTTGTAACTTGGACTAGTTTTTAATGCATATGCCAATCATGTTATACTTAAAGACATAATACAACGACATCCTTTCAAACATTTATATTGGAGGCTCGATACTTGATCCGAAGCCCCTTTCCGACTTAATTTGTAGATGTAGTTAAGCACTAAGCATACTGCTAATTTTGGTCTTCTGGCGCCCCTTACTATTTGGACATAAAACCTGCGACCACTGCAGCAATTGTAGCTGTAGGATCGCCAAGAATTGCAGAGACAATAAGACGAACAGCCGCACCAACCACCTGACAACATTTCTTTACCTTTCCCCCTCTCCCCCCATGATGGTTCTTCAGTGTCCCCTTGAGGCTTGGAATCCTGGTCTGCGTCTCTCTGACCTTGTTCTTATCAGCATTTAAATACATGGCTTGCCAACTTTCAACTAGCAACTCTTTAACACACGAGACATGAAGATTATAACTCTTGCATTGAGACCTGTAAGACCAACCAGGTCCTTTGCCACCGCAGAGAAGGCATGAGCTAGACAGTTTGAGGAACAAGTAAAGATTATGTTCTCCATCATCCAAGACTTGAGGAAGATTTACACAACAAGGATGAAGATCAAAACCACATCCCTTGCAGTCGTAGACAAAGCCTAGAACATCATTTCTACACGCATCACAAATCCTCATCTGTTCCCCAGGGGGCTTATAGTGGAATTGGAACTCACATTTTTTACAAAAGGGATGAGTAATGGTAGGAGATGGAATAGCACATGCCTTGTGCAAGTCGAACTCACATTGCTGGCAACTGTATTTGAGGCCAATGCCAGCTTCCTTACATCCGTCACAGTTGAATGGTATCTCTGTATATTCAAGCTTTAGCTTGTGCTCTGGATGGATTGGGTGTGGGATTTCTTTATCGATCTTCATGGAATTTTATTACTTCACTTCAATAAGCTGTGGGGAGACTGGCATTACTTCTATAAGGAGGTAGATATATATAGGTTGATTTGGTTTGTCTTTAATAGCGAAAAAGCCATTTTTGAACAGTCTTCTAGGTAGATACTTTGCTTAAGTTTGATATAGGATGAAATATAAGTCCGAAGCCGAAGGTTTGGACTGGTATTTGATATTTTATATATATATATAATACATGAATGAATTCAGAGAAGAGTTAAATTCAAAAGTTTCTAATTGGAAAATACTAATTCCTTTGATTGAATTCTCCTATACTCTTCCTTTAAAATGTACAAGAGAATAAAGGAAGCAGTGTTCCATGGATTCAGCTGACCTCAACAACAGGAGTTTCATGTGTCATAAATTGTCCCACTCTTGTCTTTAATGATTAAAAGGAATTCAACAAAATAAAAGCGGTAGCCTGAATTATTCGGATGGCATTACCCACTGGGTGTGGTCTCAGCTTTTTGAAACGCTTATGTCATCTGCCATCTGAGTTTTTGATTCAGGTAGAAGAACAGCACCTAATATGATCATTATCCAATCATTCTTATCTTTTGTTTTTTCGTCTATATACAGCAAAAGCCTGATTCAAATTAATCGTGTAGAAGATGGTTGAAGTATGCAAGGCAAAAATAACTTACAAAATGAAAATGTTTGTGTCGGTCATCAAATCATCCATAAAAATGGAGCCATAATCCATCAGTCAGGTTGTATTTTAGGCACTTTGGCCTTGCCTTTGAGCAATACCAAAAACAAAATGTGGTCTATGGTCAATGGTCTATTTTATAAAAGGTGCAGTCATACAATGCTAATGTCATTGTCAAATTGAGAATCAAGAAATTACATATGGCGAAGAATAAGGAATCAAGAACAGTTGTCTAGTGTTGCAAATTCTTCTTCACTCTAATAAACCTAAAAATTCTTCTATTCTACCTCGCTTTAATGTCGTTTTTCTCTTTATTTTCCATCCTTTTTCTTTTCTCTTTTTCTTTTTGTTTAAATTCTTCTTTTCTTTTCACTGTTTAATGAAGGAATAAAGCAAAATTTTGTTTTCTAAGAAGCTATCAAGACAGAAAGAATATTACAAACAACCAGAATAGAAAGCATGATTCAAACTCCTCAACGAGTCTTCATGAAATTATGAGAAAGATTTTTGCTTTGCTAAAGTGGGTTGAATGAACAAAACAGAGTCAGGTACCTGATTCTTGGTCAGATGAAAAATTAACTCTTTTTTGGAATCCACATTCACAGTTTATGGATGCGAATAGCGAGCGAGGTGGGAATAGTATTCTCTATTTTATTTTTGAATTTTTATATTATATATATTCTCTCATTCAAGGATTTAAAATGTAATGATTGTTGTATTGTCAGTGACATTATATTTATTACGATTGTGATATAATGGATAAGATAAAGATAAAATAATTTTCATAATTTATTATAAAATAATTAAATATAATAATATTTTTTTATGATATTTAAGATAATTTATGATATTTTAATTTTATATTTATAGCTTTAAATTATTTCTTCACATATTTTAGTTATAACTCAAAATTAATATGATATAAAATTCAAAGATATATTAAAAAAAGTATAATTAACAATTTTAGCATCTCGTTATCGCCACAATTTTCTGTTATACAATTATTTGCAAATGCGATACACCACTATATGTGTGAATGACGGTTCACAATTCCATTCCGGTGAGGAAAAGTGGCAAAAGGCAGTGCTACTGCTAAATAGTGATCGTTGCTATATTGCATTACAGATGCTGTTTAAATCTATGCCATACTCAAAAAAATATTTCAAATTTATTTTTATCTCCAAAAATATTTAATAGATATGAATACTCTTCATACTTATATCTTTTTAAAATAAAACTATTTTTTTAGTTATTTTTATTTTTCACATTAATATATATATATTTTTATAAAATATATATATTAATATATTTTTTAATTAAAAATATAGTAGTTTTTATTAATCCAAAATAAAATTTATACTATTTAATAAAAAAATTATCTATTAAATATATAAATATATATGATACAAGTACGGATATAAAATGAATATTATATTATATTATTCATCTCCATATTAAATAAAAAATTTAAAATTATATTTATCTCTATTTATATCTTTAAAATTTAATATCAATCTTTATTTTCATTCAAGTAAAGAGTTAAAATTTTTGATTTTATATGAATAAGATTACATTTTTATAAAAGTTGTTAAAAAGAACAAATTCAGAGGCAACATCCAAACAATGAAAGTTTTAAACAAATTCAGAGGCAGCACCAAACAATGAAAGTTCTAGAGATTTGTAAGCAACGGGGTGTCCACGTGGCATTTTTCTTTTTTTATTATTTTTAAAAATATTTTTAATTTTCTTTTTATCTTATTTAATTTTTTAACTTTTTTTTATGTTTTGATTTTGATTTTATTATTTTAAATCTTTGATTCATAAAATAAAACATCCTACTCTTTTACCCTTATACAAGGAAACTTAGTACCTATCAAATATCGAATCAAACACCAAATAAAAATCTTTTATCTTCATCACACGCCACCTTTCATTCTCATCTCTTTTATATCTTTCTTTTTTTTAAATATTATTATTTGATTTTTATTGTACTTTTTGCAAGAGAGGTTATCCATGTGTCATTGAACTTTTGTTTTTTTTTTTTTTTCCTTTTATCTAAAACACATTGTTTTGGGCATTGTTAATTAAGAAACAAACGAACGAAGGAGGGATGCGAAAAGAAGTCATTTTTTAATTTTTCTTTTTATTTTCCCTTTTTTATCTTCTGCTTTCTATTTGTTTATCTATACAAAAATTAAAATACCTAATTTATACTGATTTTTAAGTTAGGTTTCATTCAAAGTGCACGTTCTTACAAAGGATTAGGTGAATATGCAGTCAAATCCTTTCGATAGAGATGGCCTCTTTGGTGATTTGTCTCTACCTTTTTCTTTCTATGATTTTTTCTGTCTTTTTTTTTCCTTAGGTTTTTTCGATTTGATGTTATTTATCTTTTTATAGCTTGAGTTTTAAATTCTATCTATTTCTATTGCTTGGGTTTTTCAATTTGATGTTCTTTCTCTTTCTATAACTTAGGTTTCAAATTTTATCTCTTTCTATTTTAATTTTTTCTGTCTTTTTTTTTTGCTTAGGTTTTTCGATTTGATGCTATTTATCTTTTTATAGCTCGAGTTTTAAATTCTATCTATTTCTATTGCTTGGGTTTTTCAATTTGATGTTCTTTCTCTTTCTATAACTTAAGTTTCAAATTTTATCTCTTTCTATTACTTGGGTTTATTTTATTTGGGTATTATTCTTCTAAGGTTTACCATTGTATTTTTAGTCTATGTAAATTTCGATTCATCAAAATTTTTAAGTATCTATTTCTTTTGTAGTTTAGTATATTTTATGGCTTTCTTTGATTGACTGTTTAAAACAAATGAATGATGATATGCGCACTTCACTTGGTTTTTTTACCATGTATCTCCATTCGATTAAGCTATAGTTTAGAGACTTCCTTAGGCTTTTGAAGTGAAGCAGTGCTGAATTCTTTTGTACCATATCATAAACCGTTTGGCCATTTTCACCTTTGTTTTTGCACTCGGGATACTGGAAACCAAAACTTCGTTAAGCCAGTAGCATCAAATAATGCTTAAGCCCCATTGGTCATGTAACAAAGTCTTTCAATGATAAGAAGACAATTTTGTGGGGGTTTCACTTCAAGAAATGCTTAAGCTCTTGTCAAAACAATAGTTGCAGGTTGCTGATAAAAAAAAAAAAAAAAAAAAAAACTCATCCATTTAAGCCGCATGTCAAACCAGTTCATATAAAATGCTAGGAACTTACAAGATTCAAAATTTTGATAGTGAAATGCATTACATGAGTTTTGAGAGCTTTGTAGCTTAGTTGATATTTGTTACTTTGCTAGTTTTTTTTAAAATAGTCAGGCTTCGGAGTTGCATATGGCCCAATTGTTGTTTTTGAATTTTGTTAGTATAAGGGTTCTTACGTGAGAAAAGGCCATGACAATAATTATTGAGGTTTTAACTAGCAACTTGCATCATCAAAACATGGAGAAGTAAGTTTCTATTTTTCTAAATAATTTTATCTTGATTGTAATTTATGTTACTACAAGAATTGCTGAAAGGATTAAGAGTTGTGATAAGCTAATTATAATTTTTTTAGTTGCTTTGTTAAGAACAGAGTCACATTCAACTACAAGTGACTGGATTTGTTAAAAAAAGAGTCACATTCAACTAATTAATTGAAATTTATAGGTTTCAACCTGCTGCTGCAATTGTTAGTTCTTCACTATTGTTGGGGGTATTAAGCATGATACCATTTTTTAGAGTAAGAACTCTTATACACAATGAATATACAGAGAGCTTCAAATCTTTTTCTATATATAGAATTTACAAGTTAAATTTCATTGTTTTTGGGTTTAAAATGCTGATTAAGGACAGTGAAATTTTTTTTTGCTATAATCGTAAAGTTTACAAGGAGGATTAAGGCAATGGAAAAGCTATTGGAAAAAAAGAGAATGAATTGAATGCGAAGGAAATGAGGCAGATTAGCAAGGAGATTGAGGAATAGAGTGGCTTTGTGATTTTATCCTTTTTGTGTTATTGGTTTGATTGCACAAATTCTATTAAACTTGGATTTTATCATTTTGCAATCATCAACAGCCTTAAAAGAAGATGCATAGTTTTAGTAGGCTTTTCGATGGTTAGGAAAGGGGGGATCAAGGATCACCCAAAAATAATTAGGAAATCATCCTTTCTAACAATTAATATAACATTATAAACCAATGGGACTATACAATATTTAGGCATAAAAAATCTCAGATTTTGTCAGAAGTCTTAACATTACTCTTCTTTTGTATATTATTTTATTAAGGATATCCCAGAATTTTTTTTAAATGTTTTCATTATTACTTATAAAACAACATGATAGCTATTTCCATCGTAATTGGAAATTAGGTGAGCTTTGGTACCTTGTTATTATTGGAATTGGCTTTTTCTGGATTTGGAGATGGCTGAGCCCGAATACGCGAGCTCCAGCATATGTTAAGTCTTCCAAAGATGCATAACTCTGCTAATCTAGCCATACACACCTAATTTTGTTTAGGTTGATAGAAATGAATCCCAAATTATATTTACGTTTTTAATTTAAATTTATTCGAATATTTTGATCATATTTATTATATTTTAAATTTAATTATTATACATAAATATTTTATTAATTTTTTTTTTTTTTAAAAGTCAAAGTCTTTCTCGGCTGGCAGCTGAAATTCGGCTGCCAAACCCTTACCAAACCCAAGATCTTTTTCAGTCCAAAAATCTGGGATTTGAATGGAGGATGAACTCTACGAAATTGAGGCTTTGAGACAACAGAGAATGGGTTTCAACCAAAAGCAACACCCCAACCATCAAGCTCACAACCCCGTCACCACCGCCAGACTCAACAGCCATCACCACCTCACACAGCCCCCTCACCCTAGCCAGAATCGACAACCACCACACACGTCGTTGTTTGGGAAATTTTCCAATCTTTCCTCTAATAACATTGTCTAGGAGAGGGAGAGACAGTATTAGAAGGAAGAGAAAAAAAGAAGAGAGAAAATGATGTGCATGTGTTGAAACTGAAAGGATGGATTTTTTTTTTTTGAAAAAGTGGTTAATAGTTAAATGTAGAATTTGAGATTTAAGTGGTTGATTTCTTGTATTCGATTTATGAAAACCAATGGTTAGTAATAGCATCTTTTAAAAATAATTATTTATGTATTATTTCAACTAATTATAAGTTTTATTTATTTATATTTAAATTTGTAAAAAACAATTATACCTTTCAAAATTAAAATATATTAACAACATATATATTCACATGCAATAAGCACATATGAACACATATTAGAAATATAAAATAATTAGTTTAGACAAACTAATAAAAATCTTAAATCTTAAAATAAAATCAGTAGTTATATTTGTTTCGATGATAAATAATAAAATTTTGAGGTTCTTATAAGCAATTAATACAAGATAAAGTCCATAATATTTTATTCTAGTTCATTTTAATCCATAAATTTTTGTTTTACATAACTTTTTAATCATACATGTTTTTTTAACAAAAAAACGTCATAGCTTAAAAATAAAAAAAAATTATAGACATTGAAATTTTAATTTTAATTTATTAAATATCATATTTTTAAAACAAAAAAAAATGATTTAACTTAGTTAAATTTCGAATATTAAATATACAAATGTCATGAAACATGTTTATAAAAAATCCGTGCATAGTCCAGGGGTCAAAACCAAATAAATGGGCTCAAAACCCGTAGTCCCTGGGGCCTGGATTCAGAAGGCCTAAAAAAATAGCTGTAGATGAACAAAAAGTTGATGCAGGGACAAAACGGGACAGCCGTAAGTTTCCAGTTTCTACAGAGTCTGATGTGTTGAAGAACAGCAGTCGTAAAAAGTGTGGGCAAATCCCACTTGTCGTCTGAACCTGCCCGAACTGTAAACAAATAAGAATAGTGAATCTTTTACCCATTTCGAAACTTCGATTGAAGCTCATCAAGAACAAGTCAAGTCCTCGCCTTCCAGTGAACAGCGGAGAAACTTTCGGCTTTTATCTTGAGCGGGGATTAGGGTCAGTTACTGTTCTTGCCTTGTTGTCATTCGTCATTTTTTCATTTAGGGTGTTCTGATTTTCGTCTTCTGCTATTTGTGAATTAATATTTTGTTTCCAATTAATTCAGTGCTTATAATTTAGAGTTACCCACTTACACTGGTGAGTTCCGGATTAGAATGATTTTTTTTTTTTTTTTGGATTAAGAAACTTGTTTATGTTGAGAGTTCACATGAAATCATTTATATCCGAAGCCTGCCTTCATTTGAAAAGTTGTCCTCCAAAAAGAAAAAGACAAACTTGGATATGGTTTTGCAAGTGTAAAAACTTGCTTCATTCTATTGCCTGTTGAGAACATTCTATAAAATATACCTAGGAATTGGATATAGATTTTTCTATTTCTGAAATCTCTAACGTTGGTTTGGGGTAAAAGAAAGACAATGTAAAGAATATTAGCTCTAGCAAACCAGTACTTTACGGAGTTGTCCATATCAAATAGAGCCTTAAATGTTAAATCTTGCTTTTATTGCATTCTAGAGCTTTTCCAATAATTAACACCAAGCAATATTTATAGGTCATGCCATCGGAACAAATGGATTCTGATGATATTTTAAAATAACCAAATTTCCACATCACTAATTCTTCATCATCGCCAAGAGTAGAAAACCTAAAACTTTTGGTAGGTGAGGACAGTGAGCCACTGCATAAGCCTGTTGAAATGTGTATTCAGTTTTACGTTTAATCTGTTAGCAAAGAACTTCAACAACGAATTAAACAAATTTCCTTATTTGTGCTTACTACAGTGGGATTTTAGAGACAAATGAGTGCCACCAGACACAGGACCATAGCTGGTGGGGTTCACCATGTATTGGACTATCTGAGACGAATGCAAGCAGAGAATCCTTCCTTTTTTTATGCAATTCAAGGTGATAATGACCACACTAGTGGAAACATATTTTGGGCAGATGCGACATCGAGGATGAATTATACTTACTTTGGGGATACTGTCATATTTGACACAATATATAAGACAAATCACTATAGGGTGCCATTTGCCTCATTCACTGGACTCAACCACCATGGGCAACCAGTGTTGTTTGGATGTGCTTTAATTCTCAATGAGTCTGAGTTCTCATTTGCATGGTTATTCCAAACTTGGCTTCGTGCAATGTCTGACCGACATCCTGTCTCTATAACAACTGACCCTGATCCTCTCATACAGATGGCTGTTTCACAGATTCTTCCAGAAACACGCGTTCGGTTCAATAGATGGAGCATTTGCAAAGAAACACAAGAGAAGCTGGCTCACATATACCGATCACATCCTACTTTTGAAACGGAATTTAAGAAATGTATTAATGAGACTGGGACAATTAATGAGTTTGAGTCATCTTGGGTATCGCTTCTAGAAAGGTACTTTGTCATGGATAATGAATGGCTTCAGTCAATGTACAATGCTCGGCAACAGTGGGTCCCTGTTTATTTGCGAGGTACCTTCTTTGGGGAGTTATCTATAACTGAGAAAAATGGAGGTTTAAACTCATTCTTTGAAGGGTTTGTGAATGCATCAACCACCATGCAGATGTTGATTAAACAGTACGAGAAAGCTGTAGCAAGTTGGCATGAGAAAGAATTGAAGGCAGATTATGACACCACTAACACTACACCAGTTCTTAAGACTCCATCTCCCATGGAAAAACAAGCAGCTAACCTCTATACAAGAAGAATATTCATGAAGTTCCAAGAGGAGTTGGTTGAGACCCTTGCTAATCCTGCAACTAAAATTGATGACTCAGGAACTGTCACAACATATCGGGTCGCCAAATTTGGGGAAGACCACAAAGCGCACACTGTTAGTTTCACTTGTTTTGAGATGAAAGCTAGTTGCAGCTGTGAAATGTTTGAAATTTCTGGAATAATATGCAGGCACATATTAGCAGTTTTCAGAGCAAAAAATGTTCTTACACTTCCTTTGCAATATGTACTAAAGCGATGGACGAGAAATGCCAAAAGTGGGGCTGCGTTGGAGGAACGTGCTTCTGAATTGCCAAATAATTCTCGGGAGTCCTTAACAGTTCGGTATAACAGTCTACGCCAAGAAGTTATTAAGTATGTTGAAGAAGGGGCAAAATCTATTCACATTTACAATGTAGCAATGGATGCTTTGCACGAGGCACTGAAAAAGGTTGCCGCTGCAAAAAACCAAAGCCCTACCTCTGCAGAAGATGGAGGAGCACTGAGCAATGGAGGTAATCAAGAGTTGCATGCAGCTGGAGATACTGAAACAGTGGCATGTCAATCATCGGTCAGTTTCTCCTACTTTAGGACATTATCTAGCTTGTTAATGTCCTTTGTTATTTGGCTTCTCAAATGGACTATATTGCATTATTTGTGAAATTATTTCATTCTTCTTTCTAGCGCCAACCAAGAATAGGAATCTTAGCTGTTAAAAGCTAATCTTGAAGTCACTAAATGTAGGCTTTAACCGTTTTAGAAACGGGCTTACTTATCTTTCCTATTGAGGTTCTGAACCTTTTTTTTTACTAATTTTCCCTTTAATCTACAAATTAGGTAATTGCATTTCAGGTGTATCAGGAAAATGATAATCTATTAACCCCCTTTGTTCAGTTAATAGGTGTTTATTGATTTGATCCTGTTCTTTTGTTGGTATATTCATCAATTCATATTAACAATACTCATCTAACAATAACAGTGATATTTCAAAATGGTCTCTTACCAAGCTGCATTTGCCTATTTATCATTTTTTTTTTTGTTTTACCATTCTTTTCTCTTTTTTTATTTAAAGAGAAGAAAAACGAATCCTTAAATGACCTTCTCCTTTGATTGGGCCCATCACCATCTAATGCCTAAGTCCAAACCAAGGGTTTTCTCTTTCCACAAGGGATTGAATTTGTCCATTACATACAGTGAATTATGTAATAAGCTGGATAAGAAACTCTTGATCTCGAGACTGGTTAAGCTGCCCTGTGTTTCAATAAATAGAAACAAACTTTTTCCTGAATTACACCTTGCACTGCTATTCTGGCATACTGATGGTCCTTATTCCAACTTCCAATTAGAATTTTCTAGAGGAGAGAGAGAGAGTGGAAAAAATAGATTGACACTTTCTGGGCTTAATCTGAAATACATACATGCATTCATACATAAATTTATGTAGGAGCATTTTGCACTCATTTTGCTGAGAGGAATATAAAATGCGTACTTCCTGAAATTCCCAATGAGTTCATTACTGGTTTCTTTCTTATCTTTTCAAGCATTATGCTTCAATAGGTTGACACATATTTAATGAATAAAGAAGAGGTTCACAGTATACTTTCTTCTTCACGGTTTTCTCTTTTGTTTTCAATTGTTATGCCTCTTGCTGGATAAGAATACTGTCCTCGCAATACAATGATAGATATGATCATTAATTTGATGCTTTATGACCCTTGTGTTCATTTATCTTAAACAATGTGATGTATATGTAGAAAATAGGTTCATAAGGAACACTTGATGCGTTGTCATCATCATTTTACCATTTTGTGATTGAGATATCTGTTTTTTTCCTATCACTCAGGCTGAGAAGGAAAATAAAATTCGTGATTTGACTATGGAGTTGGAGAGCACAAACCAGCGATGTGAAGTGTATAAAGCAAATCTACTGGCTGTTTTGAGGGATATGGAAGAACAGAAGTTAAAGCTGTCTGTTAAAGTTCAAAATGCAAGGCTTAGTTTGAAAGAGTGAATGTAATCAGTAAAGAAATGTTGTCAAAATGAGTCTTTCCCGTATCTTAGATGATTCGGCAAAGATTGATCATTGACTGGTGGGATTAATTTGCTATAAAAAATAATGTAGTTTAGATTGTATGAAAAAAATGTTAGGTTCTTTGGAGAGCCAGAGCAGCTTTCTAGTTTCTACCTTCCACTGCAGCGAAGGCATTACAGCAATCAAAGTTCCGATTTGTCATATGGACCATGAGCCACATTTGGGGGCAACTTGTTTCCTTGAGACTGAACCTGAGACTAACAACATAAAACTATACATTAACTATGCATACCGGGCGCAAGTCATCTCATCTCAATCTCATGAAATCAACACCTATAATGTAGAACACTGCCCGCAAGTATAGCCGCATATAACTCTAGAAATGTTGATACTTTAGAAAACGAATGATTGTGATGGTGGCCTTACATAATTGATTGGCTAATGATACGTAAACAAAAGCTATAGCCTTCTTATCCTCACAGGAAGATTAAGAAAAAAAATGACAAAATTCTTTGATAAGATTAGAGATTATGAAAGTCTCACAATTGAGGCAAAATCAGGAAGAAGGTTCTGTAGCCTACACTAATTAATCTGCTATAAATCTGTTATGCTTAATTTAAACCAAAATCGATTGGTTGACAGCCGCAGAGCAACAGAGAGTGTCTTGCCCATTCTACATAACATAAGCAGCATCTTTAACCCTTCAATCTTGATTTGACTATCCTATCTGGATCACTGTCAAACATTATGGTAAAGAAAATATTATTCTCTCAACAAATCACTCCACCGTTGGCAAAGAAAATATTATCCAGCGGAACCATATTGTATAACCTTTTACCTACAGGCTCCAGCCAACAAGTGAAATCAACCAAACAGTGATATATTTAGTGTAGGCTGCATGTTTTTCCCCACCGTCAGTGTATAGAAATCATCATTATGATGCGTGAGGTGGTTATCCAGAATACATCACTTATACTGTACATGACAACAAAACTGAAGCCTGTCCTAATTTCTCAACAACTTTCAATGGTGAAGAAAAGACTTGAGATACAGAATCAGACGCATAAATCAAAATTACATGGTAGAAATGTATTGCACCATCAGATGCCATCCTTCATGCTGATCTTTATATTTTGCACTTTAATTGGCAGCTGTAGCTTATGGTCTTCAATGTCTTTTAAAACAGAAAGCAAGTTAGCCCGGTAAAGCTCGGTAAACTTCGCATTTTCGATCTGCGTACTCCAGCTCATTGGTAAGTTCTCGGATTTTCTTGTCCATATCATCCTGAAAAACAATGAAGCACCGGCGTCATTTTTCCCTCTTTTTTTTTCTAATTTTTTTCCTTTTATGTGCATATTTAATGTTATTATTTTATAACCGTAACTAGCATAAGAAAGTAGTAATTAGATAGATGTCAAAACCAGATTGTTTACATCCTAAGAATCATTGAACAGAATCCCTGAAGATAGTCCACATCATATATCTCAAAACCTAAATGGTTAAAAGATAACAAAGCTGCATGCTAAATTCACAATTCAGTATGAACATGTAACAGCTTGCTTAATCATGGAGCAGAACACCTAGGCAAATGAAAGATATTATACTTGAACCAAACTTTTAACCAGATTGTTGCTGAACAAGAATATAGAATAAGCAGAATATAGAATGCAAGCACAGAACCTTTAAAAATCATTAAAGCAAATGCATGAGGAATGGCAAAACCAGATGCATTGGAGCTAGAAAAACCATCCAACGGATTTTGATCTGCATGACCTTTGTAACCGAAATTTTAACAGAGATGAATTATGAATAAAGAATTCAGAAGAATAACTAATCATTATAGTCCACAGGCGAAGAAGATGACTCTAGGACTCGATAGGTATCAAGGTTGTAACTGGTTAGTCTTCACCAAGGACGTTAAAACGGGGACAAACGTAGTGATGAACATAGTTAGCTTACAAATTAAAGCTTATAATTCATTTCCCTTCAAAGAAATTTAACATGTTAACAATATAATGAAGAGCAAAGAGATAATTGTCAAAAACAACGCAGCAAATGCTTGAAACCTAGGCGCACTTGCTATAAAAATAGATGCGCAAGTATATGCATTTTAGTCTCAAGCCCTGTGCCCACTGAGGTAAATCTACACCTTTCCTATTCCCATTAAAACTAGAATTTGGGTGGTCCCCTTGAAGTTGAACATGAGATCAAAAACTTTACAACTGAATTTCTAGAGCTAAAACCAATATGTTCAATGACATTTCCATGAAGTATAGCATGTTTGAGACGAAATAATCTATTGGAGGTAAGGTTTACTGAAATAATAACAAATTCAAATTTGAACAGTATGTCAGGTACTGAAAAAAATGAGAAAACAAAACATTTACAACAATTTTTAACTAAGAACCATAAAAGGATTGATGTACGTAGAATTTACATTCAGTACATCATATGTAGAACAAGTAACAGCAATAATTGAATAATAATTCTGACATCTAACAAAGGTTGACCGGGCATTTTGTGATTAATACTATTCGCCTGACTAAGTCCCCCCTGATACGCCCATTGACCATCATACTCCTCCCCTCATTCTTTGTCGAAAGTGCTACTCTTTTTGCAGCCTCTTGAAGAGCACCAAAGGCCACATTGAAAGGGTCTAAAGACTTTTAATCCTTCATCAGCAAACTTGAAGGCCTCATGACACATGGTATTATACCGGAGTGTATGAGGTTCTAGATAATTAGTATAACATCACTAGCACATTCTTCTAATATAACACTACTCTTTGCATTTCTCATCCATCGTTTCAAAATATAATGAGATGGAACTGTAAGGACGTTGGTTACTCTGAAAACTGCCAATACATGTCCACAAAGAAGACCAGAGAACTCAAACATCTGGCAGTTACAACTGGCTTCCATTTCTAAATCATTGAACTTAACATAGTAGGGTTTATGATCCTCCCCAAAATTTTCCCATGGATTAATTTGAGGATGAGGAATTATCACACTAATTCACTTTCTTCCTTCCCCTTCTTAGTTCAAGAGAAACCTTTTTTATTGTTTAAAGGAGTGTTGCAACAAATGAGGTATTTTGCCATTGACATGAAACCCGCCCCTTAATTCTAATAAATATTATTATTATTGGGAATTTTCAATTGAAAAAAAAAGTACATTTCTAGCTAAATAGAATCTATTTTTTACTCCATTTAGACGTAGGTAAATGAAAATTTATAATAATGAATGATATAATAATAATTAATTAATAATTTATTAAAAAAAGAAATATATAGAATTAGAATAATTAAAATAATTAAAATATGATAGAATAGAATAAATAGAAAATGAGTCTAATACAAAAAAAAAAAGAATCGAGTTCCTTTTTTTTTTATTTTCTTAATCTATCTAAAATAAAATAAGAGATCATATGAAAAATGTAACCGATTCTTTCATTTCCTTGGGTCATTGGCCATCTTTTGGGAGTTTCAAATTTAATATCAATATTTTAGCAATAAATCCAATAAATTTATGTAATCCTTGGTGTGTTGATCTCTTTTGAAAAGAGAGTACGTGCAAATTGTTTATTTCAAGAATAGGTTGGATTAATCCAGTTGTACTTTTTTTCATTATAACTAGGAAAGAAAAGAGTGCATGATTACTCGAATTACTTCTAAATAAATTTCAAAATCATATTTAAAAATCATAGCATTTCGTCATTTATTGGTACATCTATTTTGATTCTCTATTAACCAATAATTCGAGACCATTAACATGGTTAAGGTCAAATTATTTGAAGTTAAGATGCAGCAAGGTACTCTTTCTACTACTGTGTTAATAAATACAAAAATATTTTCAAAACAAATAATGAAAAATGTTTTGTCAATATAAAACACTCATGTCGATAAAGCGATTTGAGCCTTTTTTTTCAATGTTTAATCGTTGACTTATGTATAAAGTGAAAAAAAATTTTTTAAATTTGAAGAAAAAAGAAAGAAACAACTTTGTTGACAAATTACAATTATACATTATACAATTCTAAGTACAATTTACAATTATAAATTATATGTAATTATTTATTTATTATATTTTTTAGTTTAAATTTTTTATATATTTTCTATTTTGGTCAGAAGAATCCTCCGAATATTCTGGTCTTGGATTAGTGATCAGTTTCGATATTTTGGAATATGAATAGAGAAGAGAGGGAGAGGGTAAGCTCATTACATTAGAAGAAAAAAAAAGATATGGGAATTAAGTCCCAATAAATAAGAAATAATTGAGCGTGAGAGCCAAATGAATCGAAATATTCATGTTTGGTTCGGGAAGGGATCATGGAATTTTTGAAATAAAAAAAAAAAATGAATGTAAAGATAATCTACTTTCATTAAGTGATTTATTAGATAATCGAAAAGAGAGGATCTTGAATACTATTCGAAATTCAGAAGAACTACGCGGGGGGGCTATTGAACAGCTGGAAAAAGCCCGGGCCCGCTTACGGAAAGTGGAAATGGAGGCAGATCGGTTTCGAGTGAATGGATAATATCATATAAAACGAGATAAATTAAATTTAATTAATTCAACTCATAAAATTTTGGAATAATTAGAAAATTACAAAAACAAAATCATTCATTTTGAACAACAAAGAGCAATTCATCAAGTCCGACAACGGGTTTTCCAACAAGCTTTACAAGGAGCTCTAGGAACTCTAATATGTTATGATGTCATCATCATCATCATCTGATTTTGATTTCAAGAATGTCAGAGTTCCAAATAGTTCCTCTTGAAATCTTGTAAACAGCTTTAAGTATAAAGCTCTAATGCCTGTTTCTCAAGTGGAGATGGGGTCTTCAGAGAAGGGGAAGCGTTCATTGTATCATAATCTGCATTCACTTCTTTCTCACTTCGACTCTCCAGAGCTTTCTCATAGAGCTTAAAGAACTGATTCAGATTGGTTGAAGCATTCACAAAGCCATCAAAGTATGAGTTCATGCTATCACTTCGTTGGGTTATCGACATTTTCGCAAAAAAGTCTCCCGCAGATATACAGGGATCCACTGCCTGAGGTGATTGTATATCATCTAAAGCCATTCATGATCCCTGAGTTCGTATCGATCTACAAGTGATAACCAACATGACTCATTCCTAAATCGATTCAGACAAGTTAACACACTTATGGAAATCGGCTTCATAAGTTGGATGCTAAAGGAACACGTGGGACAACTTCTCTTGGCATTTCTTGAAGATTTGCAGAAACTGAGTCTCAGGGAAAACCTGCATAACTGCTGAACGAATAACAGCATCATGATCAGTGGTGATGGACACTG